AGAGAGATTGACAAACACAACAGCAAGTTTATTAGTCACAGTCATTTTATATATTAAGCCTATTCTTAAAACATCTGCTTAATAAAATGCAAGGGTGTATTGGGTTCTCAGGATACAGAATTCTTAATGGCCTTCCATGATGACCCACGACATGCTAAAGGTACCACAAGGTAATCTGATTGTACATAGTTTATAATGCAAAGTCGTGCTCTTCTGGAGCACCTATGCCACAGAATCCAAACGTATTTCCTAAGAAAACCTCCAAAGCAGCTTTCCTAAAGTTCATGTTGGCTAGAAATTCCAGAAATGGCAGAACCACTGCATCTAAAAAATACTGAATATTCCCAGCACTTCTTCTAATGTTCCTTAGAAATTGGAACATAATTTTCCTCCATCAGTATTCCAGATAGAATATCACTGTTATCTGAAGTGACGTCTCCTATACTATTATGGTTTCTGTCACATAATTCCTAGTATAAAACATGTCTTGACCAAATTGTTTCAGAAATAGTAATCTCTCTTTGTTATCTTTTAAATAGAATTATACTTACATTACTCTGAAGTAATAAAACTGGGTGGGAAGATATACCTGGTTAACAAAGGAATAATGGAACAAACTGACTTTTATTGAATCATGTTAAAAGGTAGGATTAAAATGGTTTACTTATTTCTGCAAATTATTTATATCCTACTATTACTAACCTATTCTGCCCCTAAAATTATTTCCAACTGTGTCTGCATAACAGGGAGGGGACTCTGAGGCTCCCTCAGACCTGTCCCTTTATCTGTGCCTTCCAAATCCTTCTCTCCAGTTTCCTCCTTCTGCTGGAGTAATACCTGGGAGAAGGAACCCACTGCAGCCATCCTTTAATTGGTAGTTACGACACCCAATCATCCCAAAATTCATCCGTGTGGATGATTGTTCCCTTTAACCTTGGGATTCAGAATTTGGTAAGCACAAACATATCTTCAGAACCCGGTGGCTTCATCCACTGCACAATTCCAGCGGGAACCCCGGTTGGGTTCTGGGTCCCATCCTCAGAGCCCAGTTTCTCTTAAAGAAAGAGAATCCTAAGAACTTTTCTATGAAAAAAGCCAAGAGTAAAACCTTGGCTGTCTGACTTGAGAGGTTCATTGCAAAATTAGGACAACTCACGTAGAGTGATTGCTTTGATGCTAAGTCTCCACTCCCAGGGGTAAAGGAGACCCATATCTGAATGCTTTTCCATTTCATCCTCAGCAACCGCTTGAACAACAGATAGTGTTTCTTGGATGGGAATATCTTGAGGGATCATAGGTCAGGATGAATGAAGCTTGACCTGGCACTGGTATATATCTGTCTTCCCTTTATACTTCAGTAGAAATAACGAGCAATCTATCGCACTTGTCCAGAACATCTCTTTACACTAAGGCCATCCTTCACAGTCTGATTTAGCTGCCCAACTATGCTCAACTCATCTGCTGTGTGAGTCATGTTCATTACCCCACTATGAAGCAGTACCCACCAGGGCCTGGGTTCTGCATCTTAAGAAGTGCTATGGTTTACTGTGGGAGACATCCCTTCATTCTCACCCCACTGACGCCAGTTCATGCTGAGGGAGAGGTAAAAAGACACCGTCCACTTCAACTGGGCCAAGGTAAAATGAACATAAGGATTTCAGCCTATTGCTCACAGCATTCACAACACTTTCTTGCTGCATCAATTAATAGGGTAGGCACTGGCTGCCTGGTAAAGTTGCTGTATGAGGAGATCAAGCAGTTGGTGTAATCAGAAGTGCCAGAATCCATCATCCTCCAACATGCTGAATGGCTGGTCATCCAAAGCTATCATCGGATGTTTTTGAACCACACTGTGCTTGCTGCCAAATGACTGCTTCAAAATTTGTGGAAGATTTTTGCTGTTTGAGAGCCAGTGCCTTTCCTGCTAGTGAGCAATCTGGGTAGTGTAGCAATGCCAGAGGTGGGCAAGACAGGTGCTGAATTGTTGCCAAGATGGAAAAGCCCCTTGCTGACCTATACATTGCAGTGGTTGCAAACAGCACAGCGCGGGTCTTTAAGCACAACTTGGAGTGCTACCATACCAGCATGCTTGTTTGGTAGTAATGGGTGGTCTGCTGAGTCCCCAGTGCCACCACATGCCATTGTCTCAGATTCAGAAAGAATCCTCTTCTTCACCCTGACCTTTGCCCTCAGCCCCTGGGTTTCTAATGGAGAAAGCAGACTGATTACAGGTAGACCTCACTTATCGACTGCCTCATGCAACAATCATTCAGAGTTATGATGGTGCTAAAAATATAACTTTGTGACCAATCCTTGCATTTATGACTGTTGCAGTGTCCTGAAGCCATGTGATCACCAATCGTGGGCTTCGCAACTGGCTTGTGACAAGCAGAATTAATACAGAAAGTGGAAGTAAAATCATAAGTCGCAGTCATGTGATTTTTTGCTTAGTGACCATGTCACTTTGCTTAATGACTGAAGGGGAAGTAAGTCTGTAAGCTCAGTCGTGTTCACGTGATTTTCTGCTTAGCGACTGCATCGCTCAGTGACTGAATTGCCAGTCCCAATTGCGGTTGCTAAGTGAGGACTATTTGTATCTGAAACATCAACACCACCACTTCCTTTGCCTATGTGGAGGGAAGAACTCCTTCCACAGCAGTGGGCCCTTCCTGAGCCTTACCCATCACATCATCAGCTTCTGTCTCAGGAAGGAGGAACAGTACTGAAGGGCATTGTTTTGATACACAATTTTACACTCTCTCATAATGTGTGGGCATGCATGTGACAGTGCACTCTATCTTATTTACAAAGGATTAGCTTGCTTTATAAAGAGCAGTGTTTCTTTCCCCCACCTTATCTCTTTGTTGA